ATATATTCCTCTGCATGCACAAAATGTAATACTTGGTCAATGGAGGAGGAAAGACTGTAAATTGAAATTCCTCCAAAAGCCATGCCTATGTTAAATTCTGTAAGGCTGATTGGTTGATTATAATGCTGACTGAGATTTGGACATACATCAGATCATCAAGTTGCACAACTGAAAAATATCCAAGTTTTGTTTGGCAAGTAAGCTGGAGAGAAAAGAAGCTGAACTATGCTTTGCTAAAGGAACCCATGAAAGCACATGTGGATGCTCCTTGGCTTGTGATAGGGTACACACTGATAAACCCACCGTAAGCTGAAAATACCGTAAATTGGAAACACACTGACTTTATGTTTCCTATTGGTTATCAAAGCTTAGCCTAGAATATCTTAAATGTGTTCAGAGTGCTACAACTAGACAAATCGTGTAACGCAAACCCTCTGTTATAATGGAATGTTGCATGTCTCCATCATTCATTGAGTATTGAACTGAAGATGGAATGGTTTGCTGAGTGTGCTTCTGCTCCATAGTATAAAGAAAAGTCTTTTAAAAAATATTTTAGTTTTTTTTGGGAGGGGGGCTAGCAAGATGGCTCAGACGTTAAGAACATTGGTTGTTCTTGCAGAAGACGTGGGTTCGAATCCCAGCACCTACAAGACAGCTAACAACTGTCTGAAACTCAAGTCCCAGGGGATCCAACAGCCTCTTCTGTCCTCTCGGGGTATTGCATGACATGGGTGCACTTACCTACATGCAGGCAATATACACTTATACATAAAATAAAAATAATAAATAGAATTTAAAAAATATTTTAGTTTTTATGTGTACAAATGTTTTGCCTGCATGTATACAAGTGCACCCACACTGTGCAATGCCCACAGAGGTCAGAAGAGGGCATTGGGTCCCCTGCAACTGGAGTCATGGATGGTTGTTAGCCACCAAGTGAGTGCTGGGAATTGAACCCAGGTCCTCTGCAAGGGAAGCCAGTAATCTTAACAGCTGAGACATTTATCTGGTCCGTAAAATGAAAAGTCTTACGTTGAATCATCATAATTTGGGGACTGTTTGGCTCACTCTATGGCTGTAAGTCAAATTGTGAGCCAGCAGGCAGAGAAATGACTTACCTGAGTTAATAGAAAAAAAAAGATTTTGATGAAAAAGAATCATTACGGAAAGAGAAAAAAGTCAAATAGACTTTTATGTTGTATATTTGTTACAGAAGCTGTGCTAGTTTTTTGTTTATGTTTAAATCTTCACTTGGAGAACTAACTTTTTAATGCTGAGACTCAAATTCAAAGCCTCCCTCATATTCAGCAAGTGTTCTACCACTGAGCTACACAAATCCAAACAAAAATTTTATTACATAAAAAGTACTTTTAAATATTTGTACTCCCTTCAGTAATAATATCTAAAGTGTATTTGTATCGCTCTTAGTTTTATTCCAATTGATTTTAAAGAAGATTTTTATACTTATTGTTGAGTTATGTGTATGAGGCAGGGGAGTTGTGCAGGTGCTCATGGCGTCTAGAAGAGGGTGCAGGATCCTCCTGAAGCTGGAGTTACAAGTGAGTTCCATACCTGGGCACTGGGAACCAAACTCTACAAGAGCAGCAAACACTCTGTTATTTATTATTTATTTATTTATTTTTATTTTTTGAGACATGGTCTCCCTGTAGCCCCAGCTAGCCTGAACTCACCATGTAGACCAAGCTCGCCTCAATTTTATAGAGCTCCACCTGCCTCTGCCTCCCAAGTGCTGGGACCAAAGGCCTGTACCACCATCCTAGGCACAGCAAGCACTGTTAACTGCTAAGCCATCTCCAGCTCTGATGTTATTTCAATTTAATAGAAAGTTAACATACATCTGGACCATGCATATGTGCTAGCGAATGAAGAAGGTACTACAAACTATGATCTATTATGACAGTTTCCTTATTAAGCCCACATTTTCATCGCCAGAGAAACTGAATCCAATTAAATTTAGCTGGCCTAGTTAAGAGTAATTAGCAGCATCACTACAATAATGAAATGCTACTTGATTTTAGAGTTCAGGGTCTTCACTACCCACCTGCAAGAGCACCCTGGGGTCAGGCCTTTTGACTTGTTTGTAGCTGTCTCTTCCTTAAGAGCTACATGGACTGAGCATCTCAAACTATTTCCTGGCACATTTTGGTGATGCCACGGTCTCCTTCTCCAGATCCGTATTTCCCCAATATCCCTATCACTATATCCTAAGGAATCTGTATTACACGTTTTCTGTGGTGAATGCGGAGATGGCATATGGGCTGGAGAATCCCAGACCAATTTTAAGCCTGCTTCCTGGACTTACTAGCAATGGAACATGAGGGACTGTCTTAAAGGTTTATATATTCTTTGTGGCTGCATAGTAGTTATATTTTTGAAGACTAACTGGGATTAAAAATACCTTACATAAATATGTTATGCAAATGATGTTTTGCACATTTTTATGTGCTATGAGTCCATGTGCGTAAGTATGAGTGCACAGGTATTTCTTATCATATTCACTTTTGTTTACATTGTAATGGATCAAGGTATTACCTCCTCTGTATCCACAGCTCTGCAAATTGACGTGGGCTCTTTGAAAAACATAAAGAATACTGCCCCTAATTTATAAAGCATAATTCACTGCGAAAAGTTGGTGCCTTTGTTATCTGTGTCGGTCTATTACTGATTTTGAGTTTTAAGTTTGTTTAAGAAGCAAGCAAAGTGCATGGACAGTACACTCAGAGCTTTACCACAAGGTAAAATCCTCAACCCCAGAAGACTGTCTCTTGTACCAGCTGTCCCTACTCATGACTGCCTGTATAAGAACATGGAAGCTTTTTTTGATTTATCTATTTTTATTTTATGTGTATGAGTGTTTTGTCTGCATGTATGTGAGTGCACCCGTGTCATGCAAATGCCTCAGAGGCCAGAAGAGGGCACTGGATCCTCTAGAACTGGAGTTACAAGTGGTTGTTAGCAGCCCTGTGGGTGCTGGGAATCAAACCTGGGTCCTCTGGAAAAGCAGCCAGTGCTGGTAATTGCTGAGTCATCTCTCTAGCCCCACTTCTGCAGTTTTTTTTAAACTCTGTTCTAATAAAGGGTGGTTTTTTTTTTTTTTTTTTTTTAAGTAGCAGAAACTGTATGAAAAGCTTTCTGAAATGGAACAAGAGGGATGGTGAAATGCCTTTGCAGTAACTTGAATTTAATCCCAAATGACACAGTGGAGGGAGGAAGCTGACTTCCTGGCTTCTGACTTCCACAAGTGGTGTGGCATGCTTACACACATAGTAAATAAGTAAGCAAATAAATAAATAAATGTTCAAAAAAAGAAAAGAAGCTAGAACTGGAACAGTAAGAGCAGTCCAGAACTTGAAAACTGAAACTTCAGTAGAAACAGTTACTATTCTACACATCACAAAACTGTTGTACGGGACATTGACACAGTTTAAAATTTTCAATAATCATGAGTACAATTTTTTTTTATTATGTACAAGACATTTAATTTGGTATTTTATATTTACTGAAATTTAGTTTTACACAATGATCTTAACTTAGGTACAATTTAAAATCCCAATTTGTATTTTAGAAAAAAAACTGAATTTATTATTACATAGTTTATGAGAGGCAGGATTTGAATTCAAATGCTCCAGAGATATTCCCAACTCTGGGTTAGACACTGTTACTTATGTTTCTACTCATTCTCTCCCTGCGAACCTGGAGTATCCTGGGCAAACTGACATATTCTCAATGATTCTTTAACTGTTGTTGGTGATCAAGGGGCTGATTCTTATGGATTGTCTTAAACAACAGAGATGGGTGGCTAACAGGCTTTGTCATGTTTCTTCAGTGATGAAGGGAAACGTGGAGAAAAAGGAGGGCATGGGTGGTTTACCACCTGTTCCATCCTTAGTTTGGATTAGCTGTCTTTGAGAATAGGAAAAAGAGTAAATGGCTAAGCAAACATCTCTCAGTGCAAGCCAGGCACGATCTACCTTGAACGTGAGTAAAAGTTTTCAGGTGAAGAAAGGAATACATAAGGAAGAAATGCCTGAAATGTGCAGGTGTGCTCAGATGCAGGGGAACCTCAAAGGCTACATGAAATTGATGTGAATGAGAAAACTTAGGAGCTTGGTACACACAGGGTCAAGGGGCCTGGGCAGTTCCAAGGATTGAAATATGGATGAGCAGGCCCAGAAAAACAGCATTTTGAGAACTTGTAAATGAGGGACCCGTGGTTTGTGACATTGAAAAAGGACACAATTCCTGCCTCATAATTGAGGAAAACCCCAACCCGACTGGGAGGGGTTGCCACAAAGGGGGTCAACACTCTAGGATCAGAGTGGGACGAGTCATCGAAAACCTGATACTCAGATCCGTTCTGTAACCCTATAACCCAGTAGCCATATTGGGGTCTATATCTGTAGTAAACATTTGAGTGACTTTTGCCTCGTCTACCTTTAAAGAATGTTAAAGAACGTTTTCTACAGTATACCCCCAAGATCCAGGCAGTCTTTTTAGATACATCTACTTCCCAGTAATGCTTTCCCGAGGAGAAACACTGGGAACCTAAGATACCATTATTATAACTCTTAAATGGCCAAATGGACACGGATACCACTTGTCTCTGATCTTCTGAAAGGATAAGATTCAAATTTAGATTTTCTGGATTCAACGTGAAGTCGGCTGCAAGGGGGGAAAAAGATGAGGTGATTGATATGGAATGGGCTTATCTGATGACTGTAAAGAGAGAACACTGGAAATGTCAGGAAAAAAATTATATTGATTGTATGAGGGAGCAAATCAATATGGAAATTTGTTGTTATTTTGAAACAGAGGGTTTTGTTTTGTTTCATTTTGTTTTTGCTAAGTAGCCAAAATTGGCCTGGAGCTTATGCAGTTCTCTTGCCTCAGTTTTCCAAGTGCTGGGACTATGAGCATGTACCACCACATAAAATTTTAAGGAAATATATAAAGGCATATATAACAGCTCGTGAGATGAAGCTCATAAGACCTAAATGAACCATTCACTTCTGAAAGGTCATCAGAAAGAGTGCTTTGAAGATCTGCAAATTCTTACCCCAGTATCTTCGGACATTCGTTAACTCTGAAATGATAAAACATTCAGTGATTTTCATTAGAAGCAAAAATTCGGAAGCACTGATATGTACCTCTTCTCTAAAGCAGAGGTAATAGAGGGAGGTACAGTGAAGTTATGAACTGGTAAGTCAGAAGATAACCCAGATATCCTAGCCATTCTCCATTAAATATAGTTGCACCCTTTTGATTACAGAATGCCCCTTCCCTGGCCTCCCTGGTCTTCTCCATCCTCACATTTAAACTGCACTTGCTACCTGATCTACTCCCCAAATGACACAAGAATCTCATATGCACCTCTGCCCTAGTCTCCTTACCTTTAAACATTCGCAGCATGCCACTCAGATCTGGAGTGTAAAATAGAGACCTCAGGTTCTTAGAAACTGTTTTTGGCTTCTTCAGGGTCCAGATCTCACTCCTACGAATGATCAAATATTTTAACTTCCACATTTGTCACTTTTATCTCCATCCACATGTACCTGATGCTTGAGGCGCCTAAGGGAAAGCCTTGACTCTGAATCAGAAGACATATGCTTGTGTGAACTATGCTCCAATTTATCCTCTATGTGATGTTGTGGAGGTCTATAGCCATCAAGAGCACAGTCATCTCTTCTTAAAACAGAGTTATCTTACACGTCCTTTGATATCTCACAAAAATAATACAAAGTTTGGAGAAATGCATAGGAAAAGACTTTGCTACATCTAAAAAAATTACATGCTATGGAGAATTCATTGTATCTCAGTGGGTCTTTTGGGGGCAGGAGGCAGGTGTCTGAGTTCCCAAGAAACTCGTAGATCCTGGCTGTGATGTGGGGTTCTGTATGGCTAGCCTGTAAATCTGTGAATGGTCCAAAGATGAACTCCAGTCGCACCCCACAGTAGAGACAACACATTGTTGGGAGAAAAATTAAAAAGCACATCACAAAAGAGAAGTTATGACTATTAAAATGAACATGGTAGCCAGATATGATGGCTCAGGCCTGCAATCCTGACACTCAGGAGGCAGAGGCAGGAGAGTCAGGTCTATTTCAGGACTAGCTACGACTTTCTGTGTAGGAAGCACCTGTCAAGTAAGGGGTCCAGAACTGGAGTATAAATTCCCTGCTGTGAAGTCCCTAGTGCCCCTTTTGGCCCTAATTTTGAACATCAGCTGCCACATTCACTGCTCCTGAATCTGGTTCATTCTTGGTGGGGTGAGACACCCAAGTCCTCACTGGGGACCAGCAGTTCCAGATAATGTGACATCCAAATTTCCCTGATCTGGGAGATTTTTTTCCACTGGTACTTGTGACTGCAAACCTCTCTATATTACACAAAAGCACCCTTGTGGTCACCCATTACGCACCATTTCATGATTCCGCTCAGGTCCTAGGAAGAGAGGGAAAACAGGAGTCAAATGCGTGAGAATTAGAGCAGGGTTACTGAGGGAAAGCAAAGAAAGAGAGAGAGAATCAGACAAATTAGAAGTAAGTTATTTTATTCATATTTTTCTAGACAGGTTCTCTCAGTGTATCACAGAGTGGACTTGAGCTGGTGAGCTTGGTTACTGAGATCACTTGTCACCAGTGCAACAGGGTTTGAGTTTAGTTTCTTTCCTTTTCCTTTTCAAATATGTGCGTGCATGTGTGTGTGTGTGTGTGTGTGTGTGTGTGTGTGTGTGTGTGTGCATGTATGTGCACCATATGTGTGCAGGTGCCCAGACAATTGTGAGATGCCTGATGTGGGTGTTAGAATTCTCTGCATCACCAGCCAGTGCTCTTAACCACTGAACCACTTCTTCAGCCCCCTTTTTTCTTTTTTCAAAGTTATTTTAAAAATCCACAAAATTAACAAAGCTTAAGCTAGACAAAGCAAGAAAAAACACTAACAAATGATTTTTTTCAAAACAGGAATGAAAGACAGGATATTACTACTGACTGTAAAGAATCCCAAGGGGCTGGGGTGTGGCTCAGAAGAAGGCTGCCTGCCTAGCAAATGTGAGGAAGTGAATTCAGTTCCCAGAATCCTCACCACCACCACCCATTACTACAAAGTATTATAGAATAGGAACAATTGTGTTACTAATAAATTAAGGAAGCTAGATGAAATGAACACATTTCTACAAGTACAGTACCAACCAATACTGATTTAAGACAACAGAAAATGAGTATGGAGTTGAAAACATGTGAAAAGATGGGTTGGAAGCCAAACTTCCTGCAAAGAAAAGGCCAGACAGTGAGGACTTCACTGGTGAATTTCACTAAAAGTTTAAAAAATAAATAATATCAATACTTCACAAATTCTTCCAAGAATATAAGCCAGCCCCATTTAATACTAAAATCACATGGGCATTACAAGAAGAAAAAAAAAAAAGAGAAGAGAAAACATAGGTCAATATTCTTTCTGAAAATAGAAATATTTTTTAAAAGTAGTAGAAAATCAAATCCAGCAAAACAAAACAAACAAAAAATCATGGGGCTGGACATATAGCTTGGCAGTAGCATGCTTAGATATAAAATTAAACAAGCACAGCCAAGACATCTCAGTGAGCAAAGGCAGCTGCGACCAAGCCTGAGTCGGAGTTTGATCCCCATGACCCAAAAGGTGGAAGGAAAGTGCAGCCTCCCACAAGTTGTCCTATGAGCTCCACTTGTGCACTGTGGTACATGTGCATGCATGCGTGTGTGTGCACACACTCTAAATAAATACAATTTGAAAATAAAATTTGAGTTTCTCCCTAACACACAAAAGCTAAATCTTGAGCCATTATAATCATGACCAAGTGGGATTTATCCCATGAATGCAAGTTTGGCTCAGCATAAATATATCAATAGGACAATATATCAATATATATCAATATATCAATATATTAATAGTATTTTTTTTAAAAAGACATGATCATTTTAATGACGGGGAGGGGGGGCATTTGACAAATTTCCACACAGCTTCAGATAGAGACAAGACGAGAGAAAGCAGGAAAAGAGAATGCCTAATAAAGACGTGCAGAAACCTGTGGCTAACGTCATGCATTAAGAGGAAAGGTTGATTGCTTGTGCCTCAGATCAAGGGGCGAGAGCATTCTTTTCACTGTATCTATTCAACACGGAGCGCTACAGAAAAGCAAGCGACAGTGTTCCTGAACTCCCAGGTGCGGCGACCACTCTGACCTGCAGCAACTCCCTTGTTGACCACTGGCACCGAAGTTCCAGATCTGAGATAAGCTCTTTCACCAACTGGCTCTGCTGAGCCAGCTCGGCCTCCGCCTCTGCCAGGCTGTGCAGTATCTTCTCCTCCTCCTCCTCCAGTCTTCGCAGTTCTTTCTTTTCCTCCATGTCCAGGATGCTTCTAAGGCGTTTAAATTCCGTTTGTATCCTCTGTCTCTCAGTCTGTATCTGATTCTGCAAGAATGGACAGAGGGAAATGTAGGGAGTCTGTCAGGCTGAGGGCTTACTGTATAAAGCAGAACTCCAAACCAGGGCAGATGTACAGATAGGAGAGCAATGCAGGGGTAGCTATTTTTATCTATTACTTTTCCTTTAGTGCCAAAAATCAAAATACCCCCCCCAAGGACGAAACCAAAAATCCCCTGCCTTTGTTATCTAGGCCAATCTCCAATAATAATATAAGACTGGAATGAGGCTCGGCTTGGGAACAAAGGTCTTAGATACTTGTGATTTGCTGAAGTACCGCTCCTGGTTTTGAATCTTGGGAAAACTTTAGTCTTTCATCTGGTGTCTTTCAATACAAGTATCAGAACCTCAGTGGAAAAGATCAGTGGAACAAGGAATCTTCCAGCTTTCCCTATTATTAGTCTACCTCTGTGCTCAACTCCAAGTATCTATGTATGGTTATAACGAGTCTACTTTCCAGTTTTCACCCTCAGTAAGAAACTAATCAGATAGTTTTCGGACTTATTGAATGTCATGGAGCAAAGATGAAGGGTCTAATTGACTAGGACTGAAGAAGGCCCTGCTAAGACTCCTGTCTCAGCAGCCCTCAGGAAGACTATCCTGCCTTCCAGGAAACTCTGTCTTCTTGGATGTCAGCTTCCAACTTCTCAGCGTCCTGCTGCTCCTTCCTCAGCCTCTTGAGAGCTGACTGGAGCTTCTCCTGTGAGGGAGGAATCACACCATCAGGTTTTCAGCTCCCTTAGCACCTGGACTGAGGACTAGTGAAGAAATCAGGTTGTTCCCAGAAGAGATCAGTTTATAGAAACTGTAGTGCAGATGCTGAGAGTTTATGTCATGAGAAAAAAATCTGAGGTGGTGATATATTCTTTATCCATGGGAGAGTAAAGTTGTCACAGTCTCACCAATAGGAGTATGCATCTCTTTCCTTAGAGTACTGATCCTGCAGCAAATAGCCCAGAAAGTTCCCCAGAAGCCACCCTATTGAAAGGAGCAATGAAAATTAAATGTGAGGAGAATTCCCACTTATGCAATGCAAGGCTGTGGAGGATTCCCCAAGCTTCCTGTTCTTAGCCAAAAGACTGCGTTTACTGTAGGCCAATACTTTATCTAAATGGAAGGAAAACACAGGAATGTGTTTCCAGGCATTAGAAACTGAACGTAGAAACAGATCCCAGGGCTCAGTACTATGGTACCAATGTGGGCCAAAAAGGATGGAAAGGTGAAATTTCTTACCATGGGCCATCTTCTGCCCTGTGTCCCTCCATCCAGGACCTTACCTGACATTCTTTGCCTGCTTCCTCCAGGAGGAAGGTGTGGTGACCACGGTGCTCCTGAGAACGCTCACAAACCCAGCACATGATCTTCCTGTCTTCCTTACAGAACAGAAGGAGTTTCTCTCCATGGCATTCACAGAAATCTTGCTTCTTTTTGTTGTCAGGGCTCAATTTCACTTCCCTGAGTCTCTTTTCTATGCCCACCGAATGCTGACTAGCTTGTAGATTTTTAAATGTGCATCTAGTACCACACACAGGACAGCTGACTTCCCCCCTTTTGCTAACTACCGCACTCTTGCTCACGGGGATGCAGGCTTGGCAGACACTGTGGCCACAGCTTAGATCCAGGCGCTCTGTCGAAAGCTTCAGGCAGACAGGGCAAGTGGCCTCCTTCTGTACATCCATTAGGGTTGTTGAAGCTATTACACTGCTCCCCTGAATTCTTCCTGTCCTAACTTCTGAGGCTTTTCCTTCTTAAGGACTGCTAGATGAGTAGGTAGATTATACAAGGATTGTATGGCAGTCCACGGTGGCAAATAGCTGCACCAACCACTAAGAATCCTTCAAGGCGGGTGATCTGATGGTTAAAACGCACTAAAGCTTCAGCTGTGAACAGGCAGAATCTAGAAAAAATAACGGTAATTTGGAGAGTGGAACAGAAATGCTTCAGATGAAGAACCCAGCGATGGCGTGGAAAAGGGTGGGGATTGAGGTCAAAGAAACACTAGCTCAGATCCTAGCACTGTGCAGAAGTGTAGTCTAACAACAGAGGCCTGGGATCTATACAGCACGCAGGCAATGGGAAAGGATATCATCAAATAGCTTCCGAAACCTACGAAACAGATTTCCTTAACTGCCTACTTGATGTCCACACCAACGCAATTGATAAGTGCATTGACTTATTGCTGTTTTTTGTTCTATGACTACAAAAGTTCATGTAACTGCTTCCATGGTGGAACATGCCATTATGGAAGCTGAATCCATGTTCCTGGGTCATAGTCATTGATATTTGGTTCAAAGTCAACTGTCTTTTATTCCCCTTGGAGTGAGGACTATGTTCTTGTGTCAACAGCAGAATTAATATAGTAAAAATGGCTTTATTGTCAGTGGCTATGAAATTTAAGCAATTTATCAAAATTCCAATGACATCCTTCACAGAAATAGAAGCAACTTTAGTATCCACATGGAAACACAAAAGATCCTGAATAGCTGAAGCAATCCTGGCGGAGGGCAGTTCTAGAGGGATTACAATACCAGAAATTCATATTACACTGCAAAGTTAAATTCAGATTATACTGCAGAGCTCTTGTACCATGATTCTGTAGGGACCTGGCTGAGTGGAACTCTCCACACCCTCTCTGGAAATAGGGATGGATCTAGAAGCAGTAAAGGGTCAAAGAGAGGAACTTAAAATAAAACAAGAAGGAATGTTTAACACACACACACACACACACACACACACACACACACACACACCACAAGATAACTTATACAGTATCTGGATGCAGGATTGATAACTAGCCCACTATGCTCTGTGCTGAATAAAAAGCAGCTTCAACTGTTGAAAATAGCGGGTTTGATCTAATCTGTACCCGGACACAAAAAAGAAGTGAAAGATTTCTTATCAGGTTATTCTAAGACTTATTCTATTGGGAGGTTGTCCAGGGAAGAAGGGAGAGTTATTCTCCTTGGGCACATGGCTGCTGGTAGATCATCCACGCCCCAGTGATGGCCCCACACTCATGTGCATATGAGCAGCACTAACTGGACTCAGAGGATTATTAATGAAAAAGCAGAGGAGGACATGAGTTGGGAGACAGTCAAGTGAGGGGCACTAAGGGGAGTTAGAGGGAAGTGGAGATAGATGAATACGGTCAACACACCTTAGATAAGAATAAATAAAAATTATTTTAATCTAGCCTGGTCTACATAGTGAGTTCCAGGCCAGCTGGGGCTACAGGGAGATCCTGTCTCAAAAAAAAATGTTGAATGGATGCTACCAACAAAACAAAACAAAACCAAGCAAATTATTTTAAAAAGCTAATAAAAGATAATAAACACTAAAAGATGAACTCTACCCACTGTTAAGTAGTCAGTAGTAAAAATAAACTTAAGAAAATAACCTATGTACAGTTTTCACTTCCTCCCATCCTCAGCTTTGTGAAAGCTCCACCTTAGGCCTAAAATGTGCAATTCTCTCTCTTTCCTCCCTTTATTTCTCCCTTTCTTTCTTTTTCCTTTCCTTCCTTCCTTCCCTCCTTTCTTCCTTCCCTCTTTACTCTTTTTGAGACAAGATCTCATGTAGCCCAGGTTGGCCTCAAATTGGCTATATAACAGAGGATGACCTGGAATTCCTGGTCCCCGGCCTCTACTTCACAAGTGCTAGGATTATAGACATGCACTACAGTCTTAACTCTCCTAAGAAGCCCATATTCTCTCGAGTGTGTGTTTGCTTCTATAACCAAGCTTCCTTCCAACTCCTAACAGTGTCTCCTCTCTGAATCCTTTCTCTGACAAAAGCTAGAATACTGAGACACTGGGCAGAGATCTCTTACAGGGTCTCTCTCTGCCTCTGATATCCTCTCAGCCTTCCCCATCAGCAGCATTCTCAGGCTTCCCTGGACAGCTACCTCCTGTTTCTCTCTCTGTGGCTCTTCCCCAACCCACATTTTTTTCCTCTTAACTTTAGGAAAAAACCACCTGTGGTAAAGCCTTCAAATTCATCACACTCTTAAGATTCTATTGAAAGTTTTCTTTGATATGAAAATGATTTGAAGTAGAAAAGCCTTACTTTAATTCAGTCTTTTAGAAATGTAATCCCATAGTATTCGTTACTTTCTTGTATAGTCTGTTACTTATTTTTTTATTCATTTATTTTTAAATATTTTATTTATTATTTTAATGTGTATGTGTGTATTGCCTGCATGTAGGTAAGTGCACCCGTGTCGTGCAATGCCCACTGAGGACAGAAGAGGCTGTCGGCTCCCCTGGAACTGGAGTTATGGGCAGTTTTTAGCTGCCATGTGGGTGCTGGGATTCAAACCCAGGTCTTCTGCAAGAACAGCCAGTGTTCTTAAATGCTGAGCCATCTCTCCAGCCCCAGCTACTTATTTTTTTATTTTAAAAATTATTTTATTATTTTGTTAATTCCTAGCTAGACTGTAAGTTTATTATCATAGTTATTGAATGTTAAATGTATACTATTGAACTTTATCATACCAGAAACCTGCTTTAGTTCCACTGAATTTTTTTATAAATAAATAAACCCAGATTATCTTTTGTGCTTAGCTTCATTTGACCCTGCAGAGACAATTAGTAACTTCGGGAGTCAGGTGCAGACTCAGCCAGGCAAGTACAGTGAACTCTTGAGATGTGAGAGCTTGAGAAAGAAGGTCAGGTGTCTAACCCATCCATCGAGGGGCAAACTGCTCATATATGAGTGTAAGACGGGGAACACAAGGTAAACAAACAGAGGAAACTTCGGAGCAAGACCATTAAAACCTTGGAATCCTCCTGAGCAGAAGACATACAGAGGCAAAAAGGAGAGAGGGAGGGAGGGAGAGAGGGAGGAAGGGAAAAAAGGAAGGCGGGAAGGAGGGAGGGGAGCTCTGGATCTCTGCAAAACAGAAAATCAAAACTGCAGAACGGGAAGGAAATAGGAATGGAATTGACCTCAAGGATTTCTTCCTGTCGGACTCTGCATTTTCAAGCTGGTTCCTTCCCTGACTCAAGTCTGCACCCTCCGGGCTTTTCTTCTCTTTCAAGAACACCAGTCTTTGCAAATTAACCTTCCCTAATCTTCAGGGAGTTCTGTTCTCCC